TCTCGAATTTTTCAAATCGTTTTTCAATTTTGTGACTTTTTAAGTTGGACATAGAACGGGTTAACATTTTGTTGTAGGCCTGCTACTGTCCGCATCCCGATGAAAGTCTCCCAAGTGATATATCACTTATAATTATATTGTCTACAATCTTCCCCCGTGTTCCATCTTCATTCGTATCTGTCAGTTGCCAAGTGGTTTGCTATGAAGTAACTTGCTATATGATCGTATAGATATAGATCGTTATATTAACGAGCGCACGGACGACTATTGTGTTATATTTGATCTAGTAATAGAGAAAGTTTAAAGCATTTGTGCCAAAACGTTCCACCGAAATAAATCTAGGTGGCCTAGTTGCGACCAAATCTTGATCGCTTCCGAACTGCGCTGACTGACGCCTAACATTGTTGTGAGTGATGAATATGATTGGCGGCGTAGCGATTTAGATTTTATGCCATTGGGACTGCGTTGAAGTTAGTAATACGAGTTTTGGTACATATGACTATTTGGCGTTGATTTTGTGTAGTTGATTTCAGGTATAATCAGAAGAAGGCAAGATGTTCTTTTTATGTATATGCTGTTGGTCGCAGATGGCCTTTACAGCGTCATCGGGTTTGGGGACGGCGGGATCCTTAGGGGACCTCGGGGGGGAATTGGCGAGTGCCTCTAGAGGTATTCCAGACGGATGGCATCTCCCCACGGGGAGAGTCTCCTCTTCGTCTGGAGCCTCTAGACTACTCGAACCATCAAGGGGTCAAGATGATGAGGTTTCCTAAGTTCGCTTCCCAGTTTGATAGGAAATCGTTCCGAATTTCTTAATTATAAAAAAAACTGTATCGCTTAGCTTTGATGGAGGTTAATAAATTCCGCAATAGGTTAAAAAGAGAAATCTCTCAGTATCTTCATAAAGATATAGAAATCAATGCAGCACTTATAAGTAATAGCAGAATTATCTCTCTGAATGTTGAATGTATTCAATGATTTAATTTCCTTTATGTAATAAATTAAACGGAAAGTTTATGACAAAAAACGAATAAAATACCTACATAATATTCATATGGCACTGTCACTGTGAGATTTTGTAGACAATTCTGTAAACAATGTTCTGTGTATTGACTGCGAAACCTGCGTTCGTATTAAGGAAGTAACCACACTAGTTATTAATTTCGTTTATCAACTTTATAGTTTTTTATTTATTTTAAAACAAAATTGTAAACTCTTTTGATATCTAAACTAGTATAATCTGGGAAATCTCAATTTAAGAGAAATAATATGGCTCTGATGATAGACGAGCTCTTGAGTACACGAGAAGCCAATAATTATTGTATACATAAAATCCGGAATAGAAGTTTTCTCACTGCTGTTGCATTGTGTCATTAGATAGTTGAACTGATAAAAACAGTTCTAGAAATCAAATTGAATATATACGAGTATATATATATATATATATCACAGATCAGAAATCGCATTTCTCATTTGTTTGTTATGTACCCAATTCTAAATAAGAAGAAATCGTATTAAAATTCACAACTGCACCCTTAGTACGAGTTATACAATTACGAAAACTATGATAGTTTTTGTGAGCTCGCACTCGTCGATTTTATTGTTTACGTTTGAATACAAACAAACAGTGTTTAAATTCTACCATTAAATCATTTGCGTCAGCTTAAATTTTAAGTATATTTGGTTACTTTTCACCAAAATGGACATGGAAACATAATATACAATTACGAAGACTATGATAGTTTTCGTCAGCTCAAACTAAGGGTACTGGAATTATCAACATGTAAAAAGTTTCATGACTAAGTTTGATGGTATGAAAAAATGAAAAAAAAAGAAAAATACAATGGCTAATAATTTACAGGGAATTATAAGCTTTAAGTAGAACTGTTTAGTAGAACTACTAAAAAGAAACTTGGCAGTTCAACTGTTAAATTTCTTAATAGTTCTACTTTACGGCCGTATTGTAGACGCGGCCTTACCAGTCATTTGCGCAAAATGTTTTTTCAGCTGCCGAAATATGAATAGCATAACGTATTTCATAATTATGTGAATTTGCAACAGGTTTTGTATATTTGATTTTGTGGTCCTATTGACGTTACCTTTTAAATTAAAATTGTATTTTATACATAGTTTCATATTGTGGAACACTAATGGGTGCTCGCGACTTCGTCTGCGTAAAATGATTTTTTTTATTTTTTTTATAGCGAGGGTAGGCAAATGACTCTACCCCACCTGATGTAAAGTGTTGATAAAGTCCAAACGCGAAGCTGAAGAAACTGGTACTGCTACACCAACTATCTCACCTTGCCGGCCTGCAAAAATGCTTCTTCACGCCTCTCTTAAAGGACCGCAGATTATAGGAAGGAGGGAACACGAGCGCGGGTAAAGAATTCCACTTACGAATAGTACGACAAAGAAATGAATCACCAAATTTCCTTGTTCGTGTAGGAATCGTGGCCACAGTAATTCGGTGGCAACGTAGGCCAGCGCGCGTGGTCCTCTGAAGAAAAGGTGATGGAGGGATACGCGAGAATAGCTCCTCGGAACACTCGCCGTGTTATAGTCGGTAGAATGCGCTTAATGATGCCACATCACGGCGTAATTGTAGAGACTCGAGTTTCTTAGTTACCTCTTCATCGTCAATTGTTTGAATTAATTAATAAATTGATTCTTTTTCTAAACAATTATTATCTTTAGATTTAAACATCCAGCAGTTAAATGCTTAAAAAAATTTTTGAAGTTATACTTCTTTAGCCGCGTTATGAAAAAATTATGAGAGTGAAATTTTAAGATGCGCGCGCATCACTGTAACACAAAAGTAACATAATGAAGTTAGCCGCAGGCGCGTTATGAAAAAATGATGAGAGTGTAATTTTAAGATGCGTGCGAAACACTGTAACATAAATGTAACACCATGAAGTCGGCCGCTAAACCGCACATTACTCGTAAGTCTCGAAAAAAAGCTTCCAACAAAATAGTAATAGGATCTCTTAGTCGCACATGTTGGGACGCTCGTCGCCTCTGATCACTGTTTTCATATTTATAATATTTATCCACATGTTTCTAGTTTCTATATTCTTAACACGTGTTATAATGTTATACAAATGCGAAATTTATATGTGCTAACAAATTTTATTCAGTAGTGATTTAAATTGAATATTTTGATTATTTATTAAATTTTTCAAATTAAAGCTGAACTTTATTGACTGCGTTGACTATCCTTTTCCAATCCTTTTATTATCTTATTGTAATTAATTATCTACATGCAATAAAAACTATTTTTTAATAATTCCAAAAAGAAGTATAACTTCTCACGCGCGTACTTAAGTACACGCACCGATATTTTTTTTTACTATTCGATCCCCTTCCCCCAAAGAATTATAGCTTGCAACTATTGAATCTTTTATGGAGTACCTAATAGTGAGAGAGTCGTAGCGATGACCTCTTACTTTTAGATTTTGAAGTAAAAACTTCTTTAGCGGCATTGTACACTCTTTATGTATGGGTAAAAAATGTTGAACTCGCGTCAGGACACGTGGACACGTGACCTAATCGAAAATTCGTAAGACGAAAACAATAAAATTGGAAAGGTTATTGACTTTCAATATATTGGACGAAACATAGCAATATTTTCTTTTATCGCATTATAATAATAAGCTTCTATCTAGGACATCCAGGTGGCAGCTTTATTGCGAAGAAAATACATTTTTTTACAATAGATGTCGCTAGGAGCGCTTAAATGTGATTCATGTATGTTGATTTTTCTGAGAGATAAACATTTTATTGTAATATAAATTGTCATGTTTGTGTACGATAGTGCAATAAATAAATATTGTATTCTACCACATAAATGGTAGTACTTTTATATTGATAATTATAGCAATTCGTGGAAAATTATTCCCTAACCATTTCAAAATATCAAAAATGCACAACGTTAATATTCAAGCTTTCACTTCTGCCGGTACTCCCGGAGTGCAACCTGTCGGTTTTTTACTGCGTTGTTACCTGTTGCATAAGGTACTGCGAGTGAAAGAATAACATAGATTCCATCAGCTGTTAACTCTCCCATAAGACCTACTACCTAGATGAATTCGAACAACTGACAAGTTTGGAATGTTAAGTACCTCAAAACACCACTCTCGCTTGACCGCAGCTGAAATGAACTAACCCGCGTCATCTTCTATCAAAATACATTTAAATCATTTATACTTTAGTGAAAAAAGAAAGAAGAAGGCTCAGCTAGTTTGAATCCAGCCCCCGTAGCATGAGCACCAGAATTTACATTGTATCACGTTTTTTATCGCGTCTAACTGTCAAATTCCATAGTAATTTGACGGCTGAGCGTGATAAAAACGCGTTATATATCATATCGCGGTCCTCATGCTAGGGTGCTGGGTACAGTTTTTATACGTAGAGGTCGGAACAATGACTTCACCTTGGGTTGCCAACCGTACTCTTAACTAGAGTATTGTACTCTACATCATGTTATAGATGTACCCTCTATTATTTTTATAGATTATAGAATACGCCTAGTATTATATAATCTATAACACTAATAGACGACTCTAAAATACTCTTTTTTACATAATGTTTACTATGCTTATGTTAATGTCAGTCTTTTAAAAACAATGAAAAATTGTTATATTCGAGAACTGCAAAAAGTAAAAAAAAAATCTTTTACAACGGATCATACCCTATTTAAGAAGTCAGTACTCTTTATTTACCTTCTTTGAAATCAGATATACCCTAGTCCGTACTCTCTATTTACCTCCTTTGAAATCAGATATTCTTCTAATGAACAATGGCAACCCTAACACCACCCCACCTGATATTAAGTGATGGTGAAATGCAGACACAAAGATAGCTGGTGCATGAATATAAGCAGGTTTTATCTGCCACACCAGCCTTTTTCACCTTGCCGGCCTGCAAGTTGCTTCTTCACCATCCTCTTTGAATTTTCTCTTGTAAAAGGTTAATTAACTGTCAAACTCTGATTCCAGTGCATCAGTGTCGACGTACGGCGACAACAAGGAGGAGGGTCATCTGAAGCAATACCACGTGGAGCAGCGGTTCGCTGATCGGCGGTACAAGGTCACCAGCGCGAGGACATACTTCTACCTGAATGAGGCCGCCTGCGAGAGGAACACTGAGGCCTTCCTGAAGAGCATAGACGCTGTGGCTGGTCAGTACCAATTCTTCTTTTATTAATAGGATGAGAACTAGGTGTTTCTTGTTTTGCAGCGATCACCTTGAAAAGTAAGTCAATGAAGCCTTCATTCACATCGTTCGTCTGTTGAAGTTTGATAGGTAAGTAGGATTCTGCCGTATCAGTCATTTTAGCTATCGGAAGCAGTATTATTTGGAGCAGTAGTTCGCTGACCGGCGGTACAAGGTCACCAGCGCGAGGACATACTGCTACCTGAATGAGGCTGCCTGCGAGAGGAACACTGAGGCCTTCCTGAAGAGCATAGACGCTGTGGCTGGTCAGTACCAATTCTTCTTTTATTAATAGGATGAGAACTAGGTGTTTCTCGTTTTGGAGCGATCACCTTGAAAAGTAAGTCAATGAAGCCTTCATTCACATCGTTCGTCTGTTGAAGTTTGATAGGTAAGTAGGATTCTGCCGTATCAGTCATTTTAGCTATCGGAAGCAGTATTATTTGGAGCAGTAGTTCGCTGACCGGCGGTACAAGGTCACAAGCGCGAGGACATACTGCTACCTGAATGAGGCTGCCTGCGAGAGTAACACTGAGGCCTTACTGAAGAGCATAGACGCTGTGGTCAGTTCGCGCTGGGCAGTACTAATTCTTCTTTTTTTTAATAGGAAGGGAATTAGGTTCTTCTCGTTTTGGAGTGATCGCTTGGGAAAGTAAGTTCACATGTTTGAATAATTTGAAGTGTTGCGGTTCTGCTGTCACTTCGTCTAGGTAAGTAGGATTCTACCGCATCAGTTATTTTGGGCATCGGAGCAGTATTATTTTGAGCAGTATTTTGTAGACTTGTGGTAGAAGGTGACCAGCGCGAGGACATACTTCTAACTGAACAAAGCCGCCTGCGAGAGGAACACTGACGCATTCCTGAAGACCATAGACGCTGTGGATGGTCAGTATAATGATTCCTCTGCATTTTACAAAGACACACTTCTACTTCGACCTTTTGTAATAGGAAAGGAATCAGGTCCAGCTGGAATTGGAGCCATCGCTTAGGGAAGTAAGTAAACGTATCCTTCATCCGATTAAATTTTAAAAGGTAGGGAATCAAGAATTGCTTGAATAAGGTATTTCGACAAGTTTTAGAAAACGATCTCACGTTATTTACTAATGTTTATGGAGTCCATAAAAAGTGGATATTATTAATTCTGTTGTGTAATTCAGTAAAAAGACAAACCTAAAAATTAAATTTTTAAGTTGCCGCGAAAACGTTTCACTGGACATCATGGCGTCTCACTAGTGTGTGACGTAACACGACTGTCATTTAGTGTCATTAATAGCCGAAAGTATACAAGCGTGTGACGTCATTTCAGTCTTGGCCAAGCCCAGGCGCTTTCGGTCACGTGACCACGGAGCAAAAAAGTCATTTTCATATAATTATATTTTAGAAAATTAATTATTTTTTTCTTCAAAAAAGTAGAATCGCTACTATGTTCTTTATATGAAATACAGATGCCAACAATGGGGTATTACAACCATTTTTGAAAAGTGTCTCAATTATATTCTAAAGTTCTAATATGCTGCTAAAAATATTTATATTTTTAAACATTCGTTAAGTGCCTTTTAAATACATTACTATACAATTGGCGTAATCAGCGTTAGGCATATTTTTTTTATAAATATGGTCATTGTTTTGCCGAAGGTTTATATGTCCGAATTCACAATGGCATATATTTTATTTGGCAAAAATTTATTCTGCTTTATTTTGTTAAGAATAATCGGGATTTGTACTCAGTAGGTTAGGTTAGTGTTGTGACTAAAAGTACCACTTCGAGTTAATATATTATTAGGTTTATTTAGAGATGGTTTAAGAAACTATCCCTATCTTGTCCATTTATATTTTATCTGATCTGTGTTTCTCAGGTATTACGAAGAGCACAGGCCTTATGGCAGTGAAACTAACTGCTTTGGGAAGGCCACAGTTATTGGTGAGTTTGCGTTATTTTTATGAAAAATATATATTACTAGCTGTGCCCCGCGGTAATACCCGCGGTTTATTAGGTATATTTTCCCGCAGTAAAACGTAGCCTATGTGCTAATCCAGGGTGTCAGCTAACTCCATACCAAATTTTATTAAAATCGTGAAAAAGTAACAAACATACACACTCACAGCCGCACAAACTTTCGCTTTTTATAATATTAGCGTGATTGACTACTGACGATAACAACAAAGTCTGAAAATCATTTTCCGTGATGTCACGTGTGGATATCGAGATGCTAGATTGTCTTTATGGCCTGCGTTAAATGTACTTCCTTTGTAATGTAATGACTTCGTGTCGTCTGTGCTTCTATACTCTATACTACAAATCTCTATACTAAAGAGGATAGATATCTGTTTCTTAGGTTTTCACGCACATCACTCATTAAATAAAACTAGTTTTTTACGAGTTAATGCACGAAACTTTATTTATTTATTGACGTTTCGCATCCTTTACAGGCTGCGTCGTCAGAATCAAATGTTTATTTAATTTAAGCTTATTTAATTTAAAAAAACTAGTTTTATTTAAAGGATAGATTTGTGACGAATAAACTCAAAAACTACTGGACTGATTTTTGTTCTTTCACCAGTAGAATGTTTCGTTATTCCTCAGTGACATAGGCTTTATTTTATTGCGTTAGGCTTGACTCACAATGGCGTAGATTCTAAGCGACGCGATGCGTTATGATTTTCGCCTTGGGAATACCTAAACAGTGGGAAAATATAGATGAATTAACTACAGGCGAAAAACATACAACCTGGTATTAAGGAATTGCGCGTCGACGCGCGTTGTATAAGTGAAAATATCTGTAATAATAGACGGAAATTAGAGATGAATTAGCTTTAGGCAAAACAGGCGATAAACATAACGCATAGCTGAGACTCTGTGCCAGTGTGAGTTAAGCCTTAAAATTCAGTTACCCGTGCTTTTCAATAACTAGCAACCCAGGGTGCGTCATTAGTTATTCATCAGTCAATAATAGAAAATTAAAATAAACTTATTAAATGCAAGTTTCTAGGTGTAGCATTTTTATAAATACCTTTAAGATCATCAGTAATGAAACAGGATTTTAAGAGAGGTTGTTATATGATGATGAGCTGAGCACAGCAGAAACTAACTTAAAGTATTAAACTAACGTAATTGTAACTATCGCAGCTCCAGCTGTCTGAGGTGATAATGCGCGCGCGCAGCTACATGCAGCAGATAGCTGGCGGCACCGGCAACGTGCTCACCCACCATAAGACGATAGAGGACCTGCAGCGCTATTTCGGTGACAACACCTGCAAGCCAGAGGTGCAGGACTTCATGAAGAAGATTACCTCCGACAAGGAAGGGTGAGGACTGCTCTTTACCCTAAGACACTAATTTGATTGACATATAACTCTCCGTGTTTACCCACCACAAGACGATAGGAGATCTGCAGCGATATTTCGGCGAGAACACCTGCAAGCCCGGTGTACAAGACTTCTTGAAGAAGATCTTTTTCGGCAAGGACGGGTGAAAACTGCTCTTTATCATAAGCTTTGAATTTTGATTGACATGTAACTCTCCTTGCTCACCCACCACAAGACGATAAGAGATCTGCAATGGTACTTTGGCGAGAATATCTGCAAGCCTAGTGTCTGTGTGATGACTTCATAAAGAAGATCCTCTCCGAAAAAGAAAGGTTATGGACGGGTAGCTATACGGCTTCTAATCTTTAGCCTCTTTATCTTTAAGCTTTGCATTCTGATTGATATAAAACTCTCCTATGCCCATTTGGGGGAAAAAAGAGAACAAGAAGATGCTAGCAACTTTTTTGAGCAGATACCAAACTTTTAAACGGACAGGGTATATTCGGAAAATGTAGAAGCTGATAGGCTGGAATTTACGGATAAGATATAATATCGAGGCATCCCAAATATAAGCTCTATCGTTTGAGCAAAGATGCCTCTAATGGATGTCTTGCAAAGATCTGTTGCTAAACTCCTTGCATGAGGATCGCCACATGGGGAGGTCTTAGGCATTCCTAAGACCTCTCCATGTGGGGATCTGTAATAGCAAATACCATTCGGCGATGTTTCATTTCCGTTCCCCAGAATCGTCCATCTGTTCCCCTGGTCCATGATCCTGGACGAGGACATGGGCCTGTCGGACACGTTCCGGGTGCCGGACCCGCGCACAGGCCAGATGCGGCGCCTCATCTCGCAGATATCGCCCAAGGAGGAGGAGATGTTCCGCAACATGCTGAGGCGGCTTAACCACATCATTCAGGTCGGCGAATGATCAATGAAGCTTATGAAGAAAGTCTGGTTTTACCACAAAGGAGATGTAGTTGTATTATTATTTAACTTTTCTTCTTTCAAATGTTTAATACTTGAAAAAGTATTCGTTTGACATTGTGGGTTACCTACAATGCGAAGAGATGGCGCTGCCTTGCAGCTTAAGGCTAGGAAAATTACGACGCGGCGAATAGGGCCGTGGTAGCATAATGGTTAGTGCATTCGCCCGGATTGCGGAGGGTGCGGGTTCGAGTCCCGTCCGCTGCCTGGTCCGCGTGGTTTTTTTTCTAGTAAACTTTTCTTTACTTATATTTTCTTTAGATTTAAACACCAAGCAGTTACATGCTTTAAAATAATAAAAATTATAACCTACAGTAAATATTTAAAAGAAAAAAAAAACTCTCCGAATCAATTACCGTATTGCGGAAGATGCAGAAATTGTCTGAAACCTGGAAAGAGTGAATTTTTTCTAGTAAAAAGAATTTGTACCTACTTATTATAAAATACTTTGTACGAGTGTTCGGAAAAAGGACACAAAAATAAACCGTTCTCGGGATACAGTTGTCCGAATTGCGTTATATAATGAAATCAAGATCTGATGCACAAATGTTTACATTAGGTTACATCAAATAAAATGTCACTATAATCATCATTATCATCATCAGCCTATTAATGTCCTCACTGCTGGGGCACAGGCCTTCCCTATGGATGGAATAGGGAGATTGGGCTATGACCCACCACGCGGGCCTAGTGCGGATTGGTGGGTGCTAATGACTGCAGATGCAGCCGGGACCAAAGGCTTAACGTGCCTTCTGCAACACGGAGAAATTCGAGATACTAAATTTTTGGTCACCCATCCAGTGACCGACCACTGCGAAAGTTGCTTAACTTCAACGATCACAGCCGAACGCGCTTACCACTTGCGCCATCGAGCTCCTCACTATAATACTTAATAATTATTTAATTTCTTCGGTTGCAGGTTGCAAATGAGAAAGACGTAAGAATCATGATCGACGCCGAGCAAACTTACTTCCAGCCGGCCATATCGCGCATTTGCGTCGAGATGATGAGGAGATACAACAAAGTGAGTACTTGTACTATGCGATTCAAATAAGAATAGGAAAGCCAATGACCTCCATCTGTCAAATGTAGCTTGAAAAGTAGGGTTTGCAAAAAAATCTTTAACACTTATTTAGCACTGAGTTAATCTAAGAATAAATACAAAACATTTTTAAAGAAAAGAAGAAAATAAATCATTATGTAACATATAGAAAATGAGAACTGGAAAAGGGAAGTATAGGAACTTTACTTTTATTATAAATAAAGGTAATAAAAATACCTTTTTATTTTAAATAAAGTTGTCGTTTTAAACCCTACAATAATCTATATTTTATTTTATAGTTAAAAGCAGCAGTGATGATGATGACGATGATAATGACTACTCCGACGGTAGTGCAGAGATGAGCGGATTTAGAGAGCTAGATTCTGATTAATGTTTTTTATTATTAAATATTTTTCCTTACTTAATCTTTGTGAATAAGTTTTATTAAAGAAAAACTTTTTTGACTATTTTGAATTGACAGCTATGACGTCACAATATGGCTCCCAGTTGGTCCTATTCTTAGTTGAATCGCATTATACGGTCAGTGTCTTTTCATTTCGGAATTCCCGCCCCGTAGCATAAGCAGCGCTATATGGCATATCGCTCTTTCTTATCACGCTTAATTGTCAAATTTCTATGAAGTTTGACAGAAAGACGCGATAAAAAACGTTATATAATGTATATTGTGCTTGCGCTGGTTATGCTACGGGCACTGAGAGGCTATTCGGAATGACGTCATTATTTTCTCAGTATTTTTTTGCACATTTTCTTCATGGAGGAATGCCAGATTTTCTATGATAAAAGTTGGTGTGCAGCAAGGTAATTTTGAAGTTTCGATATAATATTAAACTCACTTGGGTTTCACCAAAGTTGATTTGAGGAAAAAAACATTTGAAAATAATGCGTTATTTTAAAACAACTATGACTGTTGAATGGAAAAAAGGTTATAGTCACGTTATATTGAGTCAACCCTTTAAAAATTTCGTCATTCATGATTTTCCGCGATATATTCGTGAAACGTAGACTGATTTTAAAAATACCTTTTTACATTGGGAAAGTGATTAATCACACACATTCCATATTGGCACATTTCTTTAGCTTACATTTACCTTTACGGGATTTTGAGAATACTTAAAGTTAGACCATGGGCGTACCTATGGGGGATAAGGTCTTAGAAACCTCTCTGACCAGTGCCTACCCTTAAGAGTGTTGAAAAATGTAAGACCAAAGAACATAGAGAAAGAAAAGGGGTTAGTGTGTGAGCAATTGCTCCTGATTCGTCGTTGCTCTCGGATGTCAGCGCTGATTGGTTCGATTGTTTGATGTCGCGTCGTTTGATTGGCTATCATCTAATAGATAAGTGTACAGTGCCGTCTTTGACCTATTGGAGGCCCTGGTCATATTAGGATAATGACTTCCGTTTGGTGATTTAACAGGAACTAGGGATCTGAGGTGGTCCCCCCATCGATCGCGGGGCCCTTTTCCAAAGTGCCCACTGGGGAAGACGGGTCTATAAGTGTAGTGGGGGCGAGCAGGCGACATCGCTTCCCGTACAAACGGTTTATGATCAAACCTTCTTACCTCTTTCTATGTCCTGTGGCCAAGACAATTTATAAATTAATTTCGAAGTGAATGTTACTCCTACTTCAACTTGTCGGCTGGAGTCCTCTAGGAAAATTCGTGCTACTAAACAAAAAGCTTCCTGCTAATTGCGGTTTCGTTGGTTTCCAGGACAAATACCTCGTGTTCAACACTCACCAGACGTATCTGAAGAATACCTACAATGAGATAGTGACGGACCTGGAGCAGGCGGCGCGCCAGAACTTCTACTGGGGGGCTAAATTAGTGCGCGGCGCTTATATAGAGCAGGTAATATATTATTATTCAGAATGATGACTGATGATTTATCAATGTTTTTTGCTCGATCTAGTATTCTAATGTACTAAAAGTTCTATTAAAATGAGGCAAGTCTTTTCGCAGTCTGAATGACAGAAGGCGTATAAAGACATTCGTAAAATTGTCGTAGATATATTTCAACAATAGTAGATGGTATGACAAGGGAGCAAAATAGTATTTTTAAGGCGAGGGCGCTCAAAGTACATCGCCCGAGGGAAAAATAATTTGCTGTTGTGTCATATATTCTACTTTTCATCCCCTTTCTATGAGAAAATAAATATGGGACGGTGTTATGTAATAATGAATATATTTAATTAAAAGAAGACATGAGAGATGAAGTATTGTTATTTTTGATGTTTCGAAACTCTGTAGCACAGAAATCAGGATTAGTAGCGAAGAAATTTGCAAAGTATCATACTATAAATTTATCGCAAACGCAAACGTAACGGTTAATAATTTGATATTCGGATGATTACATAGCATACACAAAGTTGACGTCACACAGTAGACGTTATCGAACCGAGCGTTTTGGTGGTAAATTCAAAACCACTAAAAATAAATTCAACGTTAATTGGTCTAATGTAGAAAAAAGAAATTATTTTATTTATTTTTATTTTTCTGTTAAATCGTTTGTCGCAATCTTTAAATATAAGCGGTTTTCAAAAATTTGGAAGATACCCTATTGTGGTGCATGACCACAATTCGCTTTAGTCACAATTGGACATTCAAACACGCTGCATGTGCACTCAGTAAAAAAATATTGCGTTTATTCTGTGTTATAAAGAAAAAAACAATGCCTTTGATGCCTTTATAAACAACACAAATATGTAGTTCAAACTCAAATAACAAAAGCCAAAATGAAAAAAAGACATTAATTAATTTATTTATTTTTTTCTGTTAAATCGTTTGTCCTAATCTTTAAATATAAGCAGTTTTCAAAAATTTTAAAAATATACTATTTAAGCGGACCAGTTTTAGCCGCGCGTGCCGTATCTTCCTTTTTGTTTTAATCTAAGTACATAATGTATAAATAAAATAAACAATTTGTTTATAGGAGCGCGCCCGTGCGGCCGCGATGGGCTACGAGGACCCCACGTGCGAGTCCGTGGACGCCACCACCGCCTCCTTCCACAAGTGCCTCACCGAAGTACTCGGCAGGGTCAAGGTAAGCACCAGCACGTGGGGTTGTCAGGTCGCCAAACCTAATAAATAAATATTTCCAACACTCACACCAATTAGCCTAGCCCCAAAGTAAGCACTGTAAGGCTTGTGTTATGGGATACTAGGGTAACGGATAGAATACATATACTGTACATATATAAGTATATTTATATAGAAATACATATTAAACATCCATGACTGGAGTACAAATGCTCGTATTCATCACACAAACATCTGCCCCCACCGGGATTCGAACCCGGGACCTCTCGAGTCGGCGACATCATGAAACCCGGCGTACAAACCACTCGGCCACGGAGGTCGTCATAGTGGGACAGACTGGTCAGTTTGGTCAATTTGGGTAAAAAGGCCGGACACCCTATATTCATCATTATTGTTATTGTCATTCAATACCCTTTTACTTAATTATACTTTGTGAGTGAAAAATAAATAATTCATTCATTCATTCATCATCACCAGTCTATTTATGTCCCCACTGCTGGGGTACAGGCCTTCTCTACGGACGGAACAGGGAGATGGGCCTTAATCCACCACGCGGGCCCAGTGCGGATCGGTGGGTGCTAACGACTGCAGATGCAGGCGATACCAACGTCTTAACGTGCCTTCCGGAGCAGCTGAGGAGCTCGAAATAGTATATTTTTGATAACCCATCCAACGACCGACCACTGCGAAAGTTTCTTAACTTCAACGATCGCAGCCGAACGCGCTTACCACTATTGCCATTGTGCTACTCTAATTACTGTAACAGCCACATTACTGAGGTCCGTTCTTTGGTGTGCCTCTTAGGAGCGCTAACGTCTGTAAGTAGAGGTTTTGCCTGCGTAACAAATAAATGGGTCATGTGGTAAACAACATGTTCATTAAGAAAGTGCTATTCAAACAAGGTATTCAACATGTTCATCAAAATTGCTATTCATACCATAAAGTTTGTATTGGAAGTGTATAATATTTACCATTTCCGAAATAGGTCAATTTCTTTCAAAATAGAGATCTGTAGAATAAAATATACTGTAGCTGTTATGGAGTAATCAATCGGTACAATTTAATAGAAATACGATGTCAAAAACACAATTGTTTCGATAATCGTGGACTTTAGGTAACCTACGCAATGGCCGGTCATATGACGACTAGCCAAAAATCCAAAAACATAACAGAGAAAAATACAGCCCTTGCTGAGTTTCTTGCCGGTTCTTCTCATTGCGAGATCTCCCGCCGTAGATTTACGAACCGATGTGTAGCTTTTTGACATTCATGAGTGCTTATAACAGCCTAAACTGAATAAATGGTTTTATTTTTTAATTTTTTAAAGCATGTAACTGCTTGATGTTTAAATCTAAAGAAAAAATAACTAGAAAAAATTCCACGCGGACCAGGCAGCAGACGGGACTCGAACCCGCACCCTTCGCAATCCAATCTTGTATAAATGATTTTGATTATGATTACTATTCAATCTCGAGCGTCTCCGTACTTCAGAAGGCACGTTAAGCGTATAGTCCTGGCTGCATCAGTAGTTTCAGCCTTTAGCACCCAGCAATCCTGCACTGGGCCTCCGTGGTGGGACTAGTTCCAATTTCCCTATTCCATCTATAGAAAAGGTATTTGCAGACATTAATAGGCTGATGATGATTTTTTATTTATTGCACTATAAAATATCTAAGTTTAAACTATCGTTCGCAGTCATCAAAGATCGGCATCGGAATAATGGTGGCGTCACACAACGAGGACACGGTGCGGTACGCCATCGAGCTGATGAGACAACACGACATCCGCCCCGACGAGAAAGTGGTCTGCTTCGGACAGCTGTTGGGCATGTGTGACCACATCACCTTCCCGCTAGGTAAGACTGCATTGTGGTATGCCATCAATGCTTCGGACAGCTTCTGGGCATGCGTGACCACATCACCTTCCCGCTAGGTAAGACTGCATTGTGGTATGCCATCAATGCTTCGGACAGCTTCTGGGCATGCGTGACCACATCACCTTCCCGCTAGGTAAGACTGCATTGTGGTATGCCATCAATGCTTCGGACAGCTTCTGGGCACATCACCTTCCCGCTAGGTAAGACTGCATTGTGGTATGACATCAATGCTTCGGACAGCTTCTGGGCATATGTGACCACATCACCTTCCCGCTAGGTAAGACTGCATTGTGGTATGCCATCAATGCTTCGGACAGCTTCTGGGCACATCACCTTCCCGCTAGGTAAGACTGCATTGTGGTATGACATCAATGCTTCGGACAGCTTCTGGGCATATGTGACCACATCACCTTCCCGCTAGGTAAGACTGCATTGTGGTATGCCATCAATGCTTCGGACAGCTCCTGGGCATGTGTGACCACATCATCTTCCCGCTAGGTAAGACTGCATTGTGGTATGCCATCTATGCTTCGGATAGCTCCTGGGCATGTGTGACCACATCACCTTCCCGCTAGGTAAGACTGCATTGTGGTATGCCATCAATGCTTCGGATAGCTCCTGGGCATGTGTGACCACATCACCTTCCCGCTACGTACGACTGCATTGTGGTATGCCATCTATGCTTCGGATAGCTCCTGGGCATGTGTGACCACATCACCTTCCCGCTAGGTAAGACTGCATTGTGGTATGCCATCAATGCTTCGGATAGCTCCTGGGCATGTGTGACCACATCACCTTCCCGCTAGGTACGACTGCATTGTGGTATGCCATCTATGCTTCGGATAGCTCCTGGGCATGTGTGACCACATCACCTTCCCGCTAGGTACGACTGCATTGTGGTATGCCATCTATGCTTCGGATAGCTCCTGGGCATGTGTGACCACATCACCTTCCCGCTAGGTACGACTGCATTGTGGTATGCCATCTAAGCTTCGGATAGCTCCTGGGCATGTGTGACCACATCACCTTCCCGCTAGGTACGACTGCATTGTGGTATGCCATCTAAGCTTCGGATAGCTCCTGGGCATGTGTGACCACATCACCTTCCCGCTAGGTACGACTGCATTGTGGTATGCCATCTAAGCTTCGGATAGCTCCTGGGCATGTGTGACCACATCACCTTCCCGCTAGGTACGACTGCATTGTGGTATGCCATCTAAGCTTCGGATAGCTCCTGGGCATGTGTGACCACATCACCTTCCCGCTAGGTAAGACTGCATTTTGGTATGCCATCAAACTGATGTGCCAACGCGACCTCCGCCCCGACGAGAAAGTGGTCTGCTTCGCTTTCCTTTCCGCTGGGTAACACTCAATAAATCAATATTTATACACTCACACCAATTAGTTTAGCCCCCGAAGTAAGCACTGAAAATATTTAGGTTGTTAGTTTGAATGAAAATCAGCTATTTGCAATATTTTTATATTTATTAGCAACACAATAACTAGTGCGTGATTGCGTTACCATTGAGCGAGAGGGAGGAAGGTGGTGTTGCCAGACCAACAACATCTTGGGTTGCCAGTTTTTTTTTGCCAAGTCGGGGTTTTAGGAATTTTTTGAGTGAAAAAAGCAGGATTCTTTCGTCGAAAGCGGGAAACCTATATAATCAAAAGATTTTGAATATTTATCTTTTTATTTACTGGCGGCAGGCGGCTAGTCCACACTTGTCTGTGCCACCCGCACGCGCTTTCCCAGTTCGCTGCACGTACGATCGAGTTATTCCCTAAAAGCGGGATTGAGCCTGTCCCGCGCGGGACATTTAATTTTGATTTGAAAATCGGGACGTCCCGCCAAAATCGTTACGTCGGGCAACGCTGGTCATAGGGCACTACCTTAATGATTGAGAAGTGTTCTACATAAATAAGGAGGGAGTTATGGTGTCGCGTCCTATGGTTAGCGGTGTTACGCAGGGGTCGGTTCCTTGGATCACTCCTGTGGAATATTGAATACGATTGGGTTGGCTGTGGGGTGTAATTTCCTAAAACGAATATGTTATGTTAAACAGATGATACGTTGGTTGAGGGAGCGACTATAGAAAAGCAAAGAGACGAGCCACGGTAGGAGTCTCATTAGTGGTGGGAAGGAGTAGGTTTCTGGGGTCCAAATGTAGTGGTGTTCAAAATAGAAGAAACCATGTTTTATGGTCCGGGTTGTATACTGACGGCTGGGGCACATATCACTATGGATGGAGAGAGGCCACTGAATGACTGAAGGCTCGCTGAACATCAAATATTTGGAGCTACTATTAGATGACTGTTGGCGCTTCGACAACCATATCTAGCGATTTCCATTATAAACTTCAATAATGCGGATTAATTAGTGCAGCGTTCGTGCTAGTAAGCACTTGATGATGTGTAAAGTACGCGGCGCATAAATCGAAGCCAAAAAATTATAGGGCGCGCTAGTCGGTTGTCACTCTGCAAAATATTTTGAACGTGAATTGGTCAACTATACTAGTAAAAACGACTAACACGAGTTTATACGTATTGTTAATCTGGCATTTCATATATTGATATTCCAAATTTTTGTCGGGTAAAATCTACTGTATTGGTTAAGTATGATTTTTTTATATATTTAGTTCTTCTGATTAAATTTTTACTAATGTTAAAAGTAATTAAGTCCTGATAATATATTTTATGTGTAGATTTACAGAGTGAATCGTGAAGAAATAACCACAGAGGAAATTAATTATAAAAGTATAATACGTATTTCTCAAAGATATGATATAAAAATTGAAAATAACGTTTTGATATTTGTTTTTAAATCTATTTTTTTATGAAAAATGCTAATTATGTTGTTATTCAATTTCACTATATTTTTACCTATACATTATAGAACTAAGAGGGTTTTACCAATAGATAGATCTTGTTTTTTTGAGTGAAATGTGTATTTTTATTAAATTTAGCAAAAATCGGCACTTAGTTGGTTTTCCCATGAACACGACGATATCTCATTATTTTCAAGATTTATGTAGGTACCTACTTAAAGATATCGTCAACTAAATACAGTGTAATTACCTTACAGTGACTTGATAAATAACCAAGAAGAACGTACCTATTCTAGTAAGATTAATAGGTACCTTGTAATAAGATAACGCAGTAGATGGCGACACGCTGTTTGAAGTGCACGCAACTTCGAGAATTGTAAATAATCAAATAAAAATGAGATTTCAAGACAAAGTGGCGGTGATAACTGGGGCGAGCTCCGGCATTGGAGCTGCAGCAGCCAAGCTTCTCGCAAGAGAGGGTGCATCAGTGGTGCTAGTTGCGAGAAACCAGGTGAAATTAGCAAACGTTGAGAAGCAATGCGCTGCTATTGGGAAGTCGCCGCTCGTCATTCGCGCTGATATTGCCAACGAAGAGGATGCTAAAAGAATAATCGACGAAACCATCGACAAATACGGAAAATTGGATATACTCGTCAACAACGCCGGCATCGTTAGATTCGATAATGTCCTTAGTGACTCAATCATGAAGAGCTTTGATGAGATAATGAACGTCAACCTCCGTGCTGCCGTCTACATTACAAGTTTGGCGTCTCCTCACCTTATTAAATCCAAAGGAAATATTATCAACATTTCAAGTATGTTGGGCCAAGTAATCAAAATTAATAATTACATTTCATATGCTACATCGAAAGCAGGTTTAGATCATTTTACTAGGGGTGCCGCTTTGGAACTGTCCGCTCATGGTGTCAGAGTAAACGCCATAAGTCCAGGTCCAGTGAGGACGGATATCATGGAGAATGCTGGTGTCCCGGCGTCCTGGGATAATTCGGGCACTTTTACTGCCTTAAACAGAGTGTCTGAACCGGAGGAAGTTGCGGATTTGATCGCGTTCTTGGCAAGTGACGCTGCAAAAGGAATCACTGGATCGAATTACGCAATCGAAAATGGTGCATGTTTAAAGTGATCATGATGCGAAAAATATTGTTGTTAATTGAATAATATATCTCTATCGTTTATTTATTAAATAAAAGCTGGTCGAGTGTATTACAATAATGAAAATGTTGGTCATGTTTTTTTAATTATCCAGGGGTTTGATAAGATTTAGTTATAGATCAAGAGCTGATAACGATATATTTTTAGTATAGATAGACATTTGTGAGATAACATTATCGTAAAAATCCTTTGTCGTTATGCAATTTAAAAGACAAATATTAATAAAATTATTTTTCAATACATTTGCTCAAAAAATGCATTTACGGAGATTCTATACAATGTTCGAGAGTTCAAAATTATGGGCCAAACAACGGAGCGTGCAGTAAAATGTTTTACAGCACGCTTCCATGCTTAGTGCTGTACGTATTCTTTACCATTTTTTTTATTTTTTCGGTTGAACCTCTTTGAAGGCGCTATTTATTAATCCATACCTGTTTCAATTTAATACTAAAAAAAACGTGTGCGTTTCGGGACGCACGACAGAAGTGATAAATTAAACTATCAATTTTGAGGTGAAAGGGATTCGAGGGTGATAAGGGGATTGGTGGGTGATAATAAGGGAGTAGTGGGTGATAGTGGGATTGATGGGCGATAATTAGAATTGATAGGTGAGGAAGTGGGGTGGGTCTGGGGCCACCCTTTCTGGTGCCTGGGTGGACTGTGCCATCTATCCTTGGGGGGGGGGGGGGGGGGGGGAAGACTGGTGCCGTCCGTAACGCGTTATGTAACGAAGCGGTTCACCCTCCCATAAGAAGTTATCACTTCAAAAAGACTAATTCTTTCCACTTTGCGAGGCGCCATTTTTTTTTCAAGAAATAATTTTGCTTCATTACTTAAATTATTATACTTAAATAGTTACAATCCTGTTAATAGCTATGAAGTTCGTCTACTTTTTTGTAATAAAAAACTTACTACACCAATATCATAAATAACTATAAAAATAGCTCAAATGGTGGAATTGCCATTACAACGATTGCTTGACGAATCTCTGGTAGCTAGACTTCAACAACAGCTCCTATGGTTAAGATCACACATTGTATTATCCGGTGGTAGTTAACAGTAGTTAGGGTCAAATTAAATAACTCAAAAATTCAAAAAGAATTCAATGAAGTACTTTATTATTATTATACTAATGAACTTTCAATGAAGTATCGAAAGAGCGCTCAATAAAAGTTTTTCCAAGGTAGCTCGAAAAAGTAAATAAAAATCATAGTTCTGTCGACGCAGCCTAAAAAATATGCGAAACGTCAAGAAACAAATGACTAGATCATATAATAGGGATGATGACTAATTTTTTTTCTTCGTTAATCAGGTAGATTATCAAAAAGTATTGAGTAAGTATTTTTTCTTTTTTCACATAATATAAACATTGCAGAGATATATTGATTTGAAAAGTCGCATGACGTCACGTTTGAGTACACTTATAAGGGAAAATTCACTCAAAAGTGACGTCACGAGCCCCTTCTCCCAAACTTTGACGCACTATAACTTTGTCATTTTTTGGTTGATTGCCCAAAGAAAAAATACGTGTCCATTATTTTTTAGTCATCTAACTGACGGACTTAATAGAAATTCGTTTACTGTACCCAGTCATCATCCCTATTGAGGTCCAATGGGCACTTTCTACTTTGGGGTCGAATCTTGAGGGTCCAACGGGTACTAGAACAATAAAGTGACGCATTTAAACCGTTAATACTTATGATTTTATTTATTTTTTAAGCATTTAACTGCTAGATGTTTAAATCTAAATAAAGTTTACTAAAAAAAAAATGGGCCGTGGTAGCATAATGGTCAGTGCATTCGCCCGGATACCGAAGGATGCGGGTTCGAGTCCCGTCCGCTGCCTGGTCCGCGTTGATACTTATTTTACTTAATGATTAGTGTGCGTGAAAACCTAAGAAACAAAAGTGATTTTTTAATTGGAATTTTAGTTTGAATTTTTACGAATATAATTTTGTTTGGCAATTGGGATGGCTATCTGTCATCATACATGTCATGTTCAGTTCCAAAAATTGGGAGACGTTTCTAATAAGAACTGGCGAAATAAACTCACAGGGCCAACGAGCTCTTCAGCTACTTTAATATTTCATGCTGCCAAAATATGCAATAGGAAGAAAGGAAGTTAGCGCAAATCGCGGTGTAGTAAACTAAAACCTGCGCAAAGTTGCGCTCGCTGCTAACTTCACTGTTCAGCAACAGCAAGTGACTTTGAATCGTACCGTAACATTTATAAATCTATACCTACTAATATTATAAATGCGAAAGTGTGTCTGTCGGGTCTGTTCCATCTTAATCCCCAAACAGCTAAACTGATTTAGCAGAGATAGTTTGAGCTCCAAGCCCCGGCATAGTTTCCAGAAGTTGTTTGTATGGGAAATCAATTCACTACGCAGACGGAGTCGCGAGAACCAGCTAGTAAATAAATATTTGTGACACCTACCAATTACCCTAAAATTTACGCATTCTTTTTCTGGATGTCTTCCTTTCCCTATTCAGTTAAAAAAAATAATGTGCACGAACCATACATCTGAAGCGAAACTTCTTTTCTTAAATAAGCTTACATTTTGCTTTACAGCACAAGGTGCTGCATAAGGCACAAGGGAATGGAGCCGCGCACGCATCACTCATATATATATAATAATAAATAAACATTTCCAGCACCAATTAGCCTAGCCCCAAAGTAAGCACTGTAAGGCTTGTGTTATGGGATACTAGGGTAACGGATAACATACATATATTGTACATATATAAGTGTATTTATATAGACATACATATTAAACATCCATAACTGGAGTACACATGCTCGTATTCATCACACAAACATCTGTCCCCACCAGGATTCGAACCCTCTCGAGTCGGCGACACCATGAAACCCGGCGTATAAACCACTCGGCCACGGAGGTCGTCGTATATATATGTATATATATATTGTCGCGTGCGACGCTCGTAGCTTTTCAACCCTCGCCGAGCTACCCTCCATCTTTCATGCTCGTCGGGAAGAGCTGCGCACGCATCCCACACACACATATGTATACATAGTCCTTTGACGCTCGTGACGCATTTCCATTTCATCTTTTCCATAGGATTTTTCCATTTACACCCTGTCCGAAAATAAGTTTCATTTCCATAAAAGAGTAACACCTTTTTTTTATGTTTGGAAAATCCATTACGGATTCTCCGCCCACCGGGAGAAGCGAGACGGAGGTATCTGCGGACTCTTCCCTCCTTTATCCAGCCTCTCGACTGAGTGAAGCAGGCAGGGCCCTACCCAGTAAAAACCAAACAATACTCCAGCACCTTTCCCCGACACCTATCCCGAGGACCGCGGTCCTGACATACGTGTAAGGGGGCGAGCATACATAGTGGGTACCAGTGGGACTGGTCATGCGCCCGCCGGTGATTGTCCTCTCCCGGACCCAACGAAATGAGTAACACCTAACCTTCAGAATAGTGTCAAAGGCTTGTATTAGATCAACTTTTTTCATTTTGCAGGCCAAGCCGGCTACTCTGCGTACAAGTACGTACCGTACGGGCCCGTGGTCGAAGTGCTGCCATACTTGTCGAGGCGCGCGAACGAAAACCGCGGCTTCCTCGCCAAGATCAAGAAGGAGAAAGGTCTGATTATGAAGGAAATCATACGCCGCGTGGTCACAGGAAATATGTTCTATAAGCCGGTGGGCAACTACACTCCAGTGTAAGTTGATCCTTGTGTTCGCGGTGTTTAGAGCCCAGTTTGCGTTGCACGTCAATTCTAGTGTCGTCGTCGTCGGCCGAGACCCGTTATTATGAGGGATTTAAACGGCTGTCTGTTAAGAATGGAATGAAGGAATGTGTGATATTGATTACTTTTTTGTTTAAGTGATGATTACCTACGTGTAGCGTGTCTGTGCCTCCTTTGTTCGAGAACTTTCGGTAAAGATACTTCCGTTGAATCTATTCGAGTTTTGATTTAAGACGTGTTGGTATACACCACAAGTAAATGTATATGTCTGAATATTAAATTCTATCTTTTTCATGCAATAGAAAGTAACTTTGATATTTCTCTTATTATTCGTTCTAACAGGTCATCACATTTCAAGCAATCAACATAGTATGTGGTAAGACCACTAAGCAAACTTATTTTTGGTCACCAGTTATTAAATAGGTAGTCAAAATCTTATGGTTTTATATAAAATATATAAAATTTTATCTAATCTTGTTTGAAAATATAGACATATATTTAACATACCACTATACTGTACGAGTTACTAAGATTTGTACGGAAGTAGCCATTCCTAGCCGAACTAATCACGAAAAAGGGGGTGAAATAAAGGCTTTCTGTGCAATTCCTAAGCGGGCGTTCGAATGAGTATTAACTGAGCCGATCTAAACCTCATTGCTATGGACTTGAATATTTGAGCAGGGCGCACGTTGTGCCTGTGAAAGACGGTAGATACCCGTCGTTAAAACACAGCATTCGTTTATGTGCAGCCGGTATAATGCGATTCGAACTTTATGATGTTTGTGAAGTTAGCAGCGAGTCTACAGGTGTTAGTTGTGAAAACCGCGATTTGCACTAACTTCACAACCGTCGTTAAGTTTCCATAGTATTAAACATTCATCTCGCTTGTACAACAGTCTGAATTGGAAATTAAATAGGTTTATTAAGTTACATCAAAGCAGCAAGGCAGTTTTACGTAGTGCAGTTTTTGGCCATAGTAATTTTATTATGACCATTTACAATGCACCACGATAAAGTACCAATGCTATAGTTTTTTGAAAACCATACCGCTATTGTGCTTATTCTTAAATCTTAAGAAAAAGAAATCGAATCCTTCCATTGATAATCTGTTCAAAGAATTTCACCTTTATGCAAGACTATGATGTTGCGTTTTTCTCCTAAAAGTGGGGGGGAAATGAGTAATACTTTCAGTTTAATTGTGCATGGGAGATGATCGAGAAATGCTTAGTTAGTTTCTGTTAATTTATTACAATAATCTTTATTTATTATTTTTGATCAACGCTTGTTTGTGTAGTGTTTAAAATTTAGGTCGCGTCGCTTACAATAAGTATCTAGTTGTTAAATTTAATATTGTTACAGTAAGATATTGTTTGTTGTCCATTTTACAAAATAACTATTACAATAATGCCATAGCACAGGTTTTGTCTGTGCAACAACATAATTGATATTACAATATTGTGGAAGCTTATAATTATGTTCACTTATTAAACCAATTGTCTTGTATATTTATTGTATTTTTAATTGAAAAAAATGCGAAAGATCATGCTGAGTATTAAAAAAAAATCATTGTATAGAAAGACAATAAACGAATCGCTGATGGTCTCTTATGGGGAGGTGTTATAGGAAGAAATCGTAAAGTTTATGGGTGTTAGAAATTTGATACTTTGATAGTGGAAAAGTTTAGCGGCACCTCTTCTCAACATTAGATACGAAAGTTTGTTGAATGAACATACGCCTATGCTTTTATAGTAATTATACTGAAGAGCATTTGTTTAGTGAATTATACATTTGAAGATGTTGTTTTTAACGCATTTTTATAAAATCTCAATTGAATCTGAATGTTGTATTTAAGTACTTATAATGTTGTTATTGTTATTTTGATGGCAGTCTGGCATGTTTGAGTTGAATGCTTTGTTTATATAATCAAATGTGTCGAGGCTTGACTATGTATAATGGCGTGTGCTGCGTTTAGTGGAAGCCTCCGCTTGACGCAGCGCATGGCCTTATGAGGTGTCTGACATCTTGTGGCACTTGGTATCTAAGTGGTATATATACAATCGATAATGATATGTGAATTTTGTTAGTATTTTGTTGCATTTCCAAAGTTAGTTATGTTGAATGTAACCTTTTGTGTGACATGTATTAAAGATACAATTTTGATCATGTCGTTGTGTATAGACAGTTCTCGCAACTATCAACCTCTAGTCGAGCGTTTTAAGGGCAACTTGGCAAAGATATGTTTAATTCAACCAGATACTCCTGAAACTTTTTGTCGTGTCTGAATGTGATATTTTCTTAAACGAGGCTTAGAATCTGTCAAATAACACGGGGAAAATATTAATAATGTTTAAAAGATCTGACACATTGGCTAAGTCGATAAATTATTATCATCAAATTTATTATCAAATAACATGAATAAAAATGAATTTAATTGCCTACAACTTTTGTAATATTTTTTCTCTGTGTGTTGTTTTAAAACGATATTTTATATATATTAGTAAATTTGAGATGCTGAAACCTTCGCTTCGGATTCGGTCTACCGTCTGAACAACATTTAGGGTTATAAAACGATTATTTTAAGATTTGAGATCAATCTTTTAAATGTGAATGTATTTGCCAAATTGGCATAGTATTTAAAGCTGATTTTCCATTTGTTTTATTACCTTCGAAAGCAGACGAGCGGGCAGGCCACTTGATGTAAAAGTGGTCACTGTCGGCCATATACATCAGTAATGCCAGTGACAGCCATGCCGTTGCCTTTCGTGAAACACTCTCTTTAGACTATGTCGAGATTTGCAGTGTTTATTTTCGCGACATCGACAGAAATATTTTCGACTATTATCTTCTAAAAATACTTTTTTAAGGACCGTTGCAACTGTACTTTTGTTAATGTAAAATCGGTTAATGGATATATCTATAAAAAAAAGTCATCTTTTAATCTAGAACTTTTTATTCCTGGCCAGTCCAAAGAGTGATTATTTTGCTAATTGTAACTAAACGCGTGTTTTTATGTGAAATTCCTTGGAATGCCATAAGTTATTACATCTCTTGTGTTGAATCTCCAATGGTTTAAGTTTGCCATGTTCCTAGATGCCTAACGAATAAAAGCTACAATGAGGGCTACCGTTTTCTGTCTCACCAGATGGCGCCACTGTTGAGTGAGGTCCTAAATTGTAACTTTTAAAGTTTATTAATACGCACATGAAATCAAAGGTTACATTTAGATCGTATTTTAACACAAAAGAACCATATCCTAAACATAATAGGCCATGCCACAGTGACGCCCAGTTCCGTTTTATTCGGAAAAAATGGGAACATAATCATTTATCTAAGCTCAAATTTTTAATAACTGAGATTAATTGCCACATAACTCATATTTGCCATAATTAAGCCGAATTGTTACCAATTATTCACAACATTATTTTAATAAGAAATAAACCCGCGTAGTCAACCAACAAGCAATAACATTTGACATTTCGGAGACCTCACGCTACACTAGCGCCTCTGGTGGCGGATTCATACGCGATAGCCCTCATTAGATGACGATAACAAAACTTAATTATAATAATTGTAACTTATTTAGAATCATCTTAGTTAGAATTTCATCTTGGATATTTTTGTTTTTAATCACAATAAAAATATCAATAAGTTTTTTATGATTTAACAAAAAGTATGCATTGGGCGAAACTACAACTTTCTCTTACAAGTGCTCTACTTGTTAAAATGTTCCTAAGTAATTTGTCAACTAAACGGATTGCGCCTGGTCAAAAATTAAGTTTCGTGAAGTTAAGTTTGAAAATAATACGCAAATTAAAATGTTTCTTTTTCTATATTAATAACGAACTAAAAATACCCCAAAAAACATTTGTAACTAATCGAGCATTTCCAAAATTACAATTGCCATTTTGTGACTGAAAAGTCCGGTCTTTATTCCACATGTCAGGATTTCTGTCAGGACTTTTGAAATTCCTAAATGGTTACCCTACACGCGAGAGAGACAGAATATCTTGGGTTATCATTTTTATTTTTCAATTCGTTTCTTTAATGACACTAATTACAGGTAATAAATTCTAATTGACATCAATCAAATTGATCACCAAGGAACCAAGAAGCCCAATCATCAAACGATGCTATTAAATAATTCTAAATAAAGATGTAAATAAATTTGACCAAAATTAAAATTTGTGCTTTTTGTTTATTTATATATTTTTTGCATTTATTGTTTTGTTTATTGGCAACTTATTAATGTTAGCAATCTTCAAATTCAACTTCTGTAAAAACTTATTACTTAACAACTTATTTTAATTTGTGATAATTTAAAATGTTGCAAACAGAAACTTGAGTTTATTATACTTTAGCAACACACATCACTTAAGTCTCCAGTCTTAGAATTGTTAGCATTTTAAAGTTATGCCTCATATTAACAAAAATGTGCCGGATATAATGTTTATAACATCAATTAATATTAATGACCGTTTCTTTTATCGATTAATTACTGCATTTTTAAGTGATGTATTTTTTTTTCTGTTAAATCTTTATTTATTCGCTGATTGATTATGTATATTTTTAGATATTATTTTACGAATAGACTTTGAATAAAGACAAGGTTCGTTTTGATAATTTTCTTTTATTTAAATTCCTTTTTAGTTTGATTTTGTTCTAAGATAACGTAGAATATTTTTAAGCATTTCTATTTGCTAGATGATTTGCCTCGCAGCCTCAGAAATACTAGAAGAAATTCGACATGGCCATTAAGGTCGTGGTAACATAATTAGTAGTTCATCCGGTCGGATAGCGGAGTTCGCGGGTTTGAGCCCGTCTGCTGCTTGGACTGCGTGGATTTTTTTCAAGTATACTTCTCGTTCTTATATCCACAAAAAAGAAATGTGAGTCTAGCCACTGTACAAGTTTTTTATTTGAAAAAAATACACGTTGAACAGGCAGCAGACTGGACTCGAACCCGCACCCTCCGCTATATTGGCAGATGCACTGAGCATTCTGCTACCGCAGCCTTCATTGTCTGTGTCGAATTTTCTGTAGCATTTCTTAGACTGCAAGGCAGCGCCATCTCTTCGCATTGTAGGTAACCAACAATAACATTGAACAAGTACTTAAAGGTACTATTCCCTGCATCGCGATCGATCTCGGCCACGCGCGGCATACGACTGTCGTCGGTTGCTCGCGACAATAGTCATAGTATGAAAATGTATGGCACCGCTTCCGTGGCTTGCGGCTCTCGCTCGCATTTCATGGCGCAAACATGTCTAGGAACGCAAGAGAAAACTTCCGAAACTTTTTTTCATAACAATACAAACGCTTTTGAATCAATATTTGGTTGTATCCTTCTTCATTTCTGCTTTTAAAGATAGGGTCGATTGGTTCGCTTTTTTTCATAATATAACAACAGCAGCTCGTCATCCTCCTCGTTAGGGCTGCATCCGTCCGGGTTTCCCCGGATTTGTCCTAGTTTACGGGGCGTCCGGAGAGCGTCCGGGCGGGGTTTTATTTGTAGTCCGGGTTTAAAAATTTACGGCAACGCATGAGTGGGAGTGGCCCTTGATGCTGCAAATGTCCATGGGCAATAGTGACCACTTATTATGAGGTAGACCGCTAGCTCTTTTGCCTAGATTAACATAAAAAAGTTGATTTGTGATATTTTTAACTATTTTTTATTGGTCTGTCCGGGTTCTGGGCTCCAAAATCCGGGGTTATCACGCGTCTTATCCTGGTTGTCACATTTTAGAGATGGCAGCCCTACTCCTCATCTTCTTCAAGAATGTCAATTAGCACTTTGACCATGATTTTGACTTCGGTAGACACGTCTAGAGGCATAATCCGAACTACACCGACTAACTTTGAGACACGGCCGCGCGCGGCTCACGACAGTCCTCGGCCGCGCGCGTCTGTCGCTGGCCTCGGAAGCGGTGCCATACATTTTCATACTATGACTATTGTCGCGTGCGACCGACGACATTCGAGGGCTGCGCGCGGCCCCGATCGAATGCGACAGGACGGAATAGTACCTTAAATCATCCCACGAATTTATGTTTTAAATTGATATTACATAAATATACGTCAATAACATTTGAAATGAGCTTTTGGTACCTCCTAATATACCGATGCGCTTAGAGCACACAAAACAAACCTATAGGAAATTGTTAGAAAAAAAAATAACAAGTATATCAGACAATAATATATTCGATGTATGTATGTTTAATATTTGTATATCCATGTCATCCTTGTATTACCATGGTTAACATAACATAGCCCTTTTCCATCTCGACTTGCTTGCGTAGGTATGATTTAATTTTGAAGCATT